TGAGTTGAATTCCAATTGCATCTGTATTAGTAGGCTAACTGAAGGAACAAAAGTATACCGTGGAGAAGAATTCCAACTAGTGTTCCAGTTAGTTTGATACGGTTTATTTAGTTACGGGGAGATTTTCTCAATCTGATTTTTACTTGACCGTGATAGAATTTAGTAATACTACTAATACACATGAATGGTTATCAAAATAAAATTTAAATACATGATAATTATATGAATTTTGGACAGATAGCTAGGAACAAATCGTTAAACATGAGTGTATTCGTAAGAGACATGCTCTGGACACAATGTTCTGATCTGCGGCAGACTATTTATTTATATTTATACTTGCTGGCTGATTGGGCATACAAGTTAGTTGCAAGTATGCAGTTTATCATAAGGCGGAATACGATTTAATTGAGATATAGTGGTTATAAGTTATTAAAATCAGTTAGGCCTGTGTCATATTACGAGGTGATGTGGTGCTGCAAGATGTATTTAGCTAAATAAAATTTTACAAGATGATTAATAGTGAGGGATGCTCATGTGATTATCAGAGAGAACATAAGTTGTAACCAGGGGGAGTACACTCCCAACTCATGTCTATGATAATGGCTTGAACCTTAGTCAGTGTTGGGGTAAATTCGACATTGATATTTTCAGTTTGCAGGAGATTTGCTCGACTGCTTATACTGATTATTTGCATGCATGATTGTGTCGCTAAACCATCAATTAGACTGACAAGGTTTTGAGATATTTACTGAATGAGCAACTGATAGAGAAACATACTGTAATCATCTGTGATGGATGAAGATACCAAGAAAACAACACCATTTAATGGTAATTATAAGTCAATTTGTTGACCCATTTCGTTAATAGTTTCATTAATTTTATCAGTCATATTACGTGATTGTCAAGTTATGACAATGCTTTATGCCGATATCCTGAAACTATTAAATTTAATTAGTTATAGTGTTGATTGAGGATTAGTCAGTGGAAAAATAGGTATTGTTGCTTTAAGTGATTCGAAATCATCAGAAATTTACAACGTTAAAGAATCCGAGACGCCTAATTTAATTATAAATTTCAATTCAGAAATATTCGTTTAGTGTTAATTCTAGTAGGCTACGGAGTTTTTATTTCAAGTGTTTGCTTAGCCAACAGCTACCTGAGGATTGAGTTATTTTACTGGTACAATTGATAGTACCTAAATTTTTAATCTTATTGTTTAAACTATGTTCGCATTTTAGGCTGCTAATATGATAAATCAATCCATAAACCCAAATACGATTAGCGACAACAACTATGATGGGTTTATTGATAAATGTTAAAGGCGATCTAGATGATTTCTAAATTTATAAGACATGGAGATATAGTGTGACGTATGTATGGGCCAGGTTAACATGCAGGTTGTTGACGTATATGACGATTTAAAAATAATGAACATGACCAGAAAATAATTTTAAAGTTAAGACTGCTTGTGAAACTTCAGGCAGGAATATGATGCGTTATAAACCTTCCATAAGAAGTTACTGCATTTAGCTTAGTGACACTTACAAATATATGGCAAAAGCAACTGAAAAACATATACATGTTAAGTACAAAAAAAATCATCCAGTAAAATAGTTGAACTCGCCTTGATTATTTTTGAAAATTATATTATTCAGTGTACGACATATATAACGCCATTTGTAAGAAGTAGTAATGATCCAAAAGTATCCAGAATAAAACATGCAGTATGGAAATTAATTCCAGGGTGCTTGATGGTGTTGACGTTTCTGCCACTCGCTCGGATTAGAACAATCGAATGAATTCAGTTAATTGTGTGGTTGTTATTGAACGAGCCATCTAAAATGATCTTATGATTGCAGAAAACCTATAGATGAAACTCACCGTATGTTTTTGGAGAAGTGTCATCCTTGTTGTTTGGCAATAGAACTCGAAAATATGAAATTAGGCAGGCAGTGGTCAGAAGAAAAGATATTACAGGATAGTGCATAGTTTAAAACAGGATGAGGTGTTAGGTGAAGGAACACTGATAATTAGATCCCGATAACTATTTAGTCCTTGATTGCATTGTTAGTCAATGTATACTTACGCTATTTGCAGGTCATATTTGCTAGAGCTTGATGTTTAAACAAGTCTATGTTGCTGAAGCATGTAAATGCTATTAAAGCTTGTTAACGAACAATCAAAGCTAATTAGTTGATATAGATGATCAACTTTTATTATCGATTGAGCTAGTAAGTTATGTGAACTAATAGATATAACATTACGATAATATATGTGACCATTAATCAAAGGACTATTAGAATAGTGGGTTTACAAAAATAAAATTCGATTGAGAAGGTTAAGGTGGAAATAAGGATTAACAATAATAGGTTGCGTTTCTTTAGTTGGGCTCACCAATGTAGAATTATGGTCTACTATGATATTAGTACTGCTCTAACAATAGACCTAATCCTAAAATTGTAGATTTGTCATGATATAACTGCCTAATCTATAAGATCTTACGTGGAAGTCACATCATCGACACCAACTCACCGTATCGTAACAACTACCAATACATGATGAACAAGCTTAGGCTAGAGAAAGAACAATATATTTAATATGAATAGGAGATATAAGATAACATCCAGCAGGGACCACGCCTGCATGGCCGAGCCATGCCACTCGATCAACTCCCGTCCATTCAATTCACTATTCGCGCCTTCCCCATCGTTGGGTATTTCTCCGCGTTAAATATTGAATATCTATTTTCTGTGTAGTCTCGTGTTCACAGCTTTGTGGATTGTGTGGCTATTGTCCAATGCCACTACACTACTCTCCCACCAGAATCAACGTGATGTTGGTTCGACACCAAACTGGATGGGATCGTCGCGCGCCGGAGGTTACCAAGAATAGGTAGAATTCTCCGGGTAATGATAAGCTGAAAGATAAATCAAAAAGAAGGCGGCAGCATCTGGTCGGGAAATACATGTAATAATTTTTAAAAAAAAATCTGCCTTCATGCTTGACACGCTTAAAATGAAAATTTGGGTGAAGATTATTTGAGCTATAAAAAATGGGGTTACAATAATAATAATAATAAAACGATGCGTGTTAATAGCCGTTGGTTAATAACTTAACGTATAGGTAGTAAGTATTTTGTGTTTAGAAATATTAAAGTGATGAATATTGTAGAAATGTTAATATTGGTATTAGTTTTGGTTTAAATTATGAAATCAAATAACGATTATGCCGGTTAGTTGTCCATATGAGTTGAATTCCAATTGCATCTGTATTAGTAGGCTAACTGAAGGAACAAAAGTATACCGTGGAGAAGAATTCCAACTAGTGTTCCAGTTAGTTTGATACGGTTTATTTAGTTACGGGGAGATTTTCTCAATCTGATTTTTACTTGACCGTGATAGAATTTAGTAATACTACTAATACACATGAATGGTTATCAAAATAAAATTTAAATACATGATAATTATATGAATTTTGGACAGATAGCTAGGAACAAATCGTTAAACATGAGTGTATTCGTAAGAGACATGCTCTGGACACAATGTTCTGATCTGCGGCAGACTATTTATTTATATTTATACTTGCTGGCTGATTGGGCATACAAGTTAGTTGCAAGTATGCAGTTTATCATAAGGCGGAATACGATTTAATTGAGATATAGTGGTTATAAGTTATTAAAATCAGTTAGGCCTGTGTCATATTACGAGGTGATGTGGTGCTGCAAGATGTATTTAGCTAAATAAAATTTTACAAGATGATTAATAGTGAGGGATGCTCATGTGATTATCAGAGAGAACATAAGTTGTAACCAGGGGGAGTACACTCCCAACTCATGTCTATGATAATGGCTTGAACCTTAGTCAGTGTTGGGGTAAATTCGACATTGATATTTTCAGTTTGCAGGAGATTTGCTCGACTGCTTATACTGATTATTTGCATGCATGATTGTGTCGCTAAACCATCAATTAGACTGACAAGGTTTTGAGATATTTACTGAATGAGCAACTGATAGAGAAACATACTGTAATCATCTGTGATGGATGAAGATACCAAGAAAACAACACCATTTATTGGTAATTATAAGTCAATTTGTTGACCCATTTCGTTAATAGTTTCATTAATTTTATCAGTCATATTACGTGATTGTCAAGTTATGACAATGCTTTATGCCGATATCCTGAAACTATTAAATTTAATTAGTTATAGTGTTGATTGAGGATTAGTCAGTGGAAAAATAGGTATTGTTGCTTTAAGTGATTCGAAATCATCAGAAATTTACAACGTTAAAGAATCCGAGACGCCTAATTTAATTATAAATTTCAATTCAGAAATATTCGTTTAGTGTTAATTCTAGTAGGCTACGGAGTTTTTATTTCAAGTGTTTGCTTAGCCAACAGCTACCTGAGGATTGAGTTATTTTACTGGTACAATTGATAGTACCTAAATTTTTAATCTTATTGTTTAAACTATGTTCGCATTTTAGGCTGCTAATATGATAAATCAATCCATAAACCCAAATACGATTAGCGACAACAACTATGATGGGTTTATTGATAAATGTTAAAGGCGATCTAGATGATTTCTAAATTTAATAATAATAATAATTAATAATAATAATAATTTATTCTCAAATAACAGTTTGTTACTTGAGGCATGCCAGTTTACAGGCAAGATCAAATTGATACAAATGATACAATATACACTGTATTAAATTACATAGCTGGGTTGAAAATTTATAAGACATGAATGTAGATTGTTTTAATCAGTACTACAGTTGGCGCGCTTCACGAGAGTTGCGTTGCGAATGTGCGACTGACGATCAAGAATAGGTCCATTGAAGGTATGAGCTTCTAGAAATCGCAACCTTATGTCCCTTTGGGATATCCAAGGCTTTAAGGATGGTGCAGGATGATGTAACCTGTTCCATATCTCAAGGGAGCTGAAAGAGGGAGGAAGTAAAAGAAAACACGAGAGGCAGAGTAGCCAATATTCATGTAGGAATGTTTAAGGTATGATTACTCAGTCCAATTTTCTTTTATTAAAGTATTTGTTAAGAAAGAGAATTTTAATAGGTTAAAGAAAATAAGCTTTAGCAAGGTGTGAGTGGACATACAACTGACAAATGGAGGCGACTCGGAAAAGAGCTGAGAGTATAAGATTATGGAGATATAGTGTGACGTATGTATGGGCCAGGTTAACATGCAGGTTGTTGACGTATATGACGATTTAAAAATAATGAACATGACCAGAAAATAATTTTAAAGTTAAGACTGCTTGTGAAACTTCAGGCAGGAATATGATGCGTTATAAACCTTCCATAAGAAGTTACTGCATTTAGCTTAGTGACACTTACAAATATATGGCAAAAGCAACTGAAAAACATATACATGTTAAGTACAAAAAAAATCATCCAGTAAAATAGTTGAACTCGCCTTGACTATTTTTGAAAATTATATTATTCAGTGTACGACATATATAACGCCATTTGTAAGAAGTAGTAATGATCCAAAAGTATCCAGAATAAAACATGCAGTATGGAAATTAATTCCAGGGTGCTTGATGGTGTTGACGTTTCTGCCACTCGCTCGGATTAGAACAATCGAATGAATTCAGTTAATTGTGTGGTTGTTATTGAACGAGCCATCTAAAATGATCTTATGATTGCAGAAAACCTATAGATGAAACTCACCGTATGTTTTTGGAGAAGTGTCATCCTTGTTGTTTGGCAATAGAACTCGAAAATATGAAATTAGGCAGGCAGTGGTCAGAAGAAAAGATATTACAGGATAGTGCATAGTTTAAAACAGGATGAGGTGTTAGGTGAAGGAACACTGATAATTAGATCCCGATAACTATTTAGTCCTTGATTGCATTGTTAGTCAATGTATACTTACGCTATTTGCAGGTCATATTTGCTAGAGCTTGATGTTTAAACAAGTCTATGTTGCTGAAGCATGTAAATGCTATTAAAGCTTGTTAACGAACAATCAAAGCTAATTAGTTGATATAGATGATCAACTTTTATTATCGATTGAGCTAGTAAGTTATGTGAACTAATAGATATAACATTACGATAATATATGTGATCATTAATCAAAGGACTATTAGAATAGTGGGTTTACAAAAATAAAATTCGATTGAGAAGGTTAAGGTGGAAATAAGGATTAACAATAATAGGTTGCGTTTCTTTAGTTGGGCTCACCAATGTAGAATTATGGTCTACTATGATATTAGTACTGCTCTAACAATAGACCTAATCCTAAAATTGTAGATTTGTCATGATATAACTGCCTAATCTATAAGATCTTACGTGGAAGTCACATCATCGACACCAACTCACCGTATCGTAACAACTACCAATACATGATGAACAAGCTTAGGCTAGAGAAAGAACAATATATTTAATATGAATAGGAGATATAAGATAACATCCAGCAGGGACCACGCCTGCATGGCCGAGCCATGCCACTCGATCAACTCCCGTCCATTCAATTCACTATTCGCGCCTTCCCCATCGTTGGGTATTTCTCCGCGTTAAATATTGAATATCTATTTTCTGTGTAGTCTCGTGTTCACAGCTTTGTGGATTGTGTGGCTATTGTCCAATGCCACTACATATTCACCTCGAGAGTTTCGACAAACCGGACAACATTACTCAGTTTACTTCAGATATACAACATATTTCTGGGGCAAAAAATGTGGTTTCAGACACCTTGTCTCGTATTACTTCCTTGAACGGTCTCCAAGGCCTCGACTTTTCAAACTCGCTCAGCTTCACAAAGAAGACAATTATCTCTAGAACGAATTATCCTCAACAACCCTTAAACCGCGCATTCAACATATGGGAACAAGTAAGGAAGATTCACTGCGCGCACACCCACAAGTGTGGATCGTCCAATCGTGCCGACACATTATCGACGCAATGCCTTCAATACGTTGCACAAAAGTCTTCATCCAGGCGTTCGTGCAACCATCAAGCTTATAACAGAACGGTTTTGCCGGACCGGTATGAATAAAGACGTAAGGGAGTGGGCGCGCTCTTATGTAATTCGCCAGAAATATAAGGTGGTTAGGCACAACAAATGCTTCTTAAGCTCTTCCACAACTCCTGATGTCGTTTTGACCATATTCATCTCGATTCGACAGGACCCTTACCAGATTGAAATGGATGTAACAGCTTAAGTTGATTACTGAGAGTCGACCTCAAACAACTAAGTATATGTCAAAACAATGGGACTCAATGAAACTCATTCACTTCCTCACTTTTTTTATAAACATATTTCCTAATATCTTATATTGAATATGGAAAAGCTTCGTGTGTTTGAACAGGTAAGCCCCGGCTCCACTGTGACTGACACGCGATCAAAATAAAGATCTATTTACTACTAGTCTGACTTCTCCCATCAATAGAACGGTTACCTACGGGCACGAAATGGATACTCTTATCTCTTAAATTGTGTAGACCGTTCTATTTGGTGGCCAGAAGCGTTACCCATCAAGGACATTACTATTGAGACAGTGGCCTGTGTCTTTGTCGAACGGTGAGTGGTAAACTCCGGTCACCCCTCAACTATCACTGCAGACAGTTGATGCGAGTTTGAATCTGGACTCTTTCATTGTCTGGTCACACTATAAGGAATCATGCTATTACGAACAATCGCCTACCTCTCACAAGAAAACAACTTAAATCTTCACTCTCAGCTGAAAACGTTTAGCAGTGAGTCGATGCTCTTCCAATCGTTTTACTCAGTATTCGCAATGTAGTGAATGCTGACATTGGATACACCGCGGTTCAATTCGTTTATGGAATGCCACTTCGACTTCTAGGAGTTCGTGGATCCTTCATCTTCTTCAGTGAATATGGACCCGAATTCTTAGACAAGCTGGTTGACGAAAGCCATGCATTAAGTTAAACCTGTTTGGTGAGACTATAATTTGTGGACGACCTTTGAGCCAAGCAAGACTGACCTTGAGATTGTCCTCCTAATATCTATGACCGAATGAGGGTTCTAAACCTATGTGAGCGATTAGAATTACGTTTTACAGCTGATGATTAACCCTAGGAGTTAGATTTCGGGTTTTCATCACGAACTGACATAAACTGTAATGCCGAAGCTATTTAGCCTATTATCTTATACCTTATTGGTTCGTCCATAAATAATTGTTTCGCCACCTGTTTCCACTTGACCGTAATCAATCGATATTTTTGTTTTCCCTGTACTACGATATAATACACACGTCTTTGTGCGTCGCGACTCACTCCGGCGAATTCGCGAAACGACATACGTCGCCTTTCAAAGTCCTCCAGCGTGAACTTAAGTACCATATAGTCTATAAGAACAGAACTGATTGAAGCATCAGTATCTATCATCTCAAAGATGCGTATTTAGAAGGAAACCATGGTCATGTCGATTCTCTCCGGTACAGTCGCAAGACATGGATCTCACAATTGCTATACCTCACCCGATGATCAAAAATCACTTCAGTGCGTCTAACAACCGACCAAAATAACGCGTTCTGCAAAAAAGTAAGATTGCCAGACACTACATAACGCTTTGTTTCATCTCGAACGTTAGTATGTATGTAGTATGTAGATGATCTATGTCGAAAATGATTGGGGGCCTACTGGAGTTAGACGTGAATGGTGTGACAAACTAGCTAACGTCGAAGTCACACCTCGTGGTCAGCACCTTACGTAGACTACCCATTGACGCATCAAGGTACCATAGATGCTTTGAAGACTGTACAACACAGAGGACGTTAATACAGAAATATATTAGTTAAAGTAGATACAAGCGAAAGTAAGACCACTGCCGCATAGGCCAGACCATGGCATACGATTAACTGATGCGCGTTGGTTGCCCCTTACCTTGACGAGGATCGATGATTTGCTCGATATTCAATGACCCAACTGCCGGATGATTTGGCTAGGGCTTAGTGACATCTCGCTGGTCCTACAAGTATGTTCATGTACACAATTTTTTATTCCAAAAGGGACGGAGAATGTGCTATTGGTTAAGGCGTTGTCAAGCTCCGAATACTTGCGGAACGACCTACCAATGTATCGACTCTTCGTCCCAAAAATATGAGATATAAATCATCTGGCAATTCGCACCATGTCTAAACATACCATAGCTGAAAACAAACTAATGACTTATGCACATTACTTACTTATTATACTTTGTGACCTGTTCAGTAGCGGTTAACATTACGAAACATATTGAAATTATCGGTTATATGAATATTGGATAATGTGGGTAAAGTAATACACAGTCTTGTGGGGTGTTTATTGTACATAAGTGCTTAAAAAAGATATATCAGATAGTTATTATATAAAGTTCAGTGACATGCGTTATAGGGTTTTCTTAGTGCCCATAACAATGAAAGGGCATTTTTATTATAAAACCTGATTTCTCGTTATACAAACCTTCGTAAGATATAAAGGTTATGTAGGCGAAATATTTTCCATCTATTGCCGATTATTTGAACTCATACAATGATTGCTTAGTAGCGCGCAATCTCCGAGGCGGCTGTTTTGGGATCTTATGTTCGTAAATTCTGACTTTTGCATATATTCCTAGTTATTTGTGGTATATTCATTCATTCTTCATTTTTATAACGTCTCATGGTAATAAGTATTGTTTTAACACTCGTTATTGTATGTTATCCAACTATTGTGATAGATTCTGCTCATTGGCAATCGTTTTCTATAACAAATTACTGGATTATTCACTCGACCAATATGAAATCACAAGTAATAATTACATTGTTTTTATTATCGAGGTTCGTTAAAAACTACATATGTGACAAGCACAACGTATGAACTGAGTAGGCCTACAGCATCTGTCTTATAGCAGACGATTAACTTCGAGTATTTTTATCCCGACCTGAGTGAATTGATTATAAAAAAATCACAATCTACAACCACCTTACACACATTGGTTTTTTTCATGAGCTCGTGTGTTTGTCACTAAAACACTGAGTTAATGAGTCATTTATGCTAGAAGTCTCCGCTAATACATTAATACAGATGCAACGCTTTACGAGCTAAGTGCCTCAATAAAGTTTGGATGTCAGTGCATATTAATTTTCGTGCTAGTATATAGCCCTTCATGAATAACGACGAAAGTTGTGTCTCCGTGTATACGTACGGTGGATCTTCAGTTTGTCCATACCTTGAACTTACTGAATGGTGCTAATTGGTTACTGTTACTTTATCTTGGCTCTACATTATTTTGCACCAAAAAGGACTAGGATTGACGGCATCAACATATGTATATCGTCGAATTTGTTGTACTAGGTTAATTTACTTTGTGTCCATGCATTATATCTTACAAGCTTTATCTTCTAATTCATTTTCATTCCCCTCTACAATTAATGTATTTTACCTTTATAAGTCGTTAACGCCCTTCTGAAACCTTGTGATTATTATTGGTTTATTGTAATTTAAAATCAGTAATCTAACCTCTTATGGGCGACTTAGATGATTTCGAGACTTAGTTATGTGCAGTGGTTTTATCACGTCTTGACCCCACTTATTTCTCCCTCTAATTCAATCCGTAACTGCGTGCTTTAGCTGTTTATACGCCAATTTTTAACTGTTTCCAGTTCATGGTGAGCTCATCATTATGCTGGCAAGTCTGACTTTATTTGAAACACTTGAATTTTTATGAAAAGGTTTAGTAACGTTCTTCCAATGGTTATTCTAACACATACTCATAAGGAACCAAAATTCTGCACCGCGGCTACACCATGGTCATTATAATCTAAACCGTAAAAACATTTTAAACCTAAATGATGCTTACAAAATCATAAGTGTAACTGTTTCGTTTTTAAATTTTGAAGCATAGTTGGGAATCTCTAAATTATGTACGGTCTGCTTTTTCCTATTGTTTAGGTGCTGTAATACGGCGTAGTAAAAACGGGATATTCAGAAGTGTTTTACAGTCCTAACCTTATCACCATACATTGGTCACAACTTATTAACTCGATTAAATAAAAATATTCATTTTCAAATCCAATGCAAGAGTATAAACTTGTTGTTCTGGGAAGTGGGGGTGTCGGAAAAAGTGCATTGACTGTGCAGTTTGTACAGGGAATCTTTGTGGAAAAGTATGATCCAACCATTGAGGATAGCTATAGAAAACAAATCGAGATTGATAACAGGCAGTGTATGTTGGAAATTCTCGACACAGCTGGCACGGTAAGTTTTGTAATGTTCTACATATGCATTTACTCCATTTAATGGCACACTGCCGCAAAACCTCGACAGACGGTATTAAATGCCATCTGAAGGTTAAGAAGCGCAAAATGGTATGGTCATATGATGTATGATTTTGCATAATAAACCGGTCCAGAGTTCATGTATGATACAACAGTAGAAAAAGAGCCTTGACTTCTGTTTACATGGCGTTGCTTGGTTCTGTTTCCACCTGAAGCGGTTTATCATTTAGTAATTAGTTGATACCAGGGTAATTTATCAACTGAATTAAGTTACAGGTTCGTAGTTTACATTCTAGACAATTCATGTTAATAGAAATGGTTAACTTAATACTTGTTTCTATAACATTCTAGTCAATCTCGTTTACGGTCGAAGACTTAAAACTGAGGTTCGCTGGGATAATCTGCAATCTACTATCAGAATAGTAATAATGCTTGTAAGCAATCCACATTAAAAGGTTCGAAAAGATTAACAGATATCAGAAACCTTTTACTAAACCTGTCAATTCTTGGGTACTCATCTTGAAGGAGTCCGAATATCATAATTAGTGAGTCAATCACTGACATAAATTCACGTAATGATCGTAAGAAGTGATGGGCGAGAAAGCAAAAGAGGTGGGAAAAGTAAATCTATGTGACTGATCGCAATCGTTGATCGTCGTAGTTTGTAAAGAAAAGCGAAGTTCTACGACAATCACACATGAAGTACCATTATTACAAATATAGCTCATTCACCAAGTCCAGGCTTATGTGCCTGCTATATGAGATGTGAGGTTCCATAGATATTTCCTGCTTTCTCAAACAGAATCTAATGGATCGGAGTTCGTACCTTGGACCTGTTGGTTGAAAGTCGAGTGCTCTAAGCCCCAATCCACCACACAGTTTGATTATTAACGCATCAAACATATTAGTTTTCATCAGTGTAGGGTTGTGGAGATTGTTATTTTTTGTTGTAATTTGACAATTAAGTAAAGCATAGTGCATAGTACAAGTATTCACTTTTCGTCAGATTTTGAAACATTACTCTTACCAACACCCGACTAACGGTATTTCATTACTTATATAATTAGCATCCATAATCAGTAGCTACCAGTCTACTGGAAGTTTTTCACCCGAAGAATTGTTCATTTTCGAGGTCACAATCTAGTCAACCTGCTGGGTTATACTCTTCTCTATCTTTAAAATAGGATAGAACATCTTTGTTTTTTTTATTGACAGACAAAAGTAGTTCCTTTACGATGTTTGCTTTGTAAGTGTCACATCAATAAAAGCTGAAGCTTGTGGTTCGTGATTTAGACACCAGTCAGGGATTGGTAGTAGTAGTAGTAGTAGTAGAACTTAAATTAACAATACAACAATCAAATATTGTCACTAAGCCGTACTTATTCATTAAGTATACAAACTGAGCTGCTGCTATGTTGATTATAGGGATAACTAAATGAAAAATCACACTGAACTTAAACGCTTATCGTTTTGAGTCAGTCTGGCCCCGATGTCAACTACCAGTTAATGAAACCTGTAATTCTCATAAGTACACGAACTGTCCAATAAAGATGCGAAAATACTCCTGCGAATTCAGCCGTAATTATCCATGAGGTTTTGATTCTAAGTTTAAGCATCACATTAGATCACCCTAGTTACTACTACTACTATCCAGACCTAGCCCCCTACGATGTTCCCCAAGTTCACAATGATGTGCAAATAATTAGTTGTAACACGATAAGGCAGATGAAAAATTCGGTTTCTGATGGTTTTCAGAAATGTTACAAACAATAAAAGCTAAGCTGGTAAAAGTATGTCTTAACAAATGGAAAGGATGTTTTGCAAGGGATATATATGATTGATGTATTTCAAACTTGTCAAGTTTTATGACCTCAGCCTGTGTGTAAATGAACAAACTCGGTTGTATTCTTTAAATCTGCATATAGTACCCACGTAGTTCATTACCGGTTATTAATTTTTCAGATAGTTTGACTGTATAAGATGCCTTTTTTCGTCCAATAATCAATCAGATGATTTGTTTTTATTACCCTTTTTGAATAATCTGTTTTAACATCGTTTATCAAGGAACAATTCACTGCTATGCGTGATCTGTACATTAAAAATGGTCAAGGCTTTGTTTTATGTTATTCAGTTACATCACAATCCAGTTTTAATGATCTACAAGGTTTGCATGAACAAATTCAACGTGTCAAAGATGTTTCCAATGTCCCACTTATAATTGTAGGAAATAAATGTGATTTAGCAGATGAACGAGTAGTCTGTCGTGAACAGGGTCATGCGCTTAGTCGACAATTAAATTGTTCATTTATGGAAACAAGTGCCAAAGCTAAAATTAATGTGAATGAGGTATGTTCCATTCATTTTTTATATTTAATCATTTTAAAGCATCCAATATGATATACATAAACTGTAGTTGCCAACTTGACAACGGTAGTCGGGTTTGGATATCATTGTGACTCAACCTAATTATATTGGCTAGAACATCCGTTTCTTTAAATACTATCATTCTAGGCTATCGTTGGCATCCGCTGATGCCCTCGACATATATAAAGCCAAACTGAGAACGATAATTAACTCTTAGAATACCTACAGCCATTAAATATATAAAACACATAATAATTATGAGTAGTATATCTCTGAGTGTTAAGTGGTTGGAAAAGATTGGCAAGAATCTATCGACCTAGGTTTCATCCTAGTTGGTAATGGTCATCAGGGTGTACCTTCAATCTTGAGAGTAATAATGCCACAACCAGTGAGATTCAGACCTGCACCACTCAGTTTCACATAACCGAAGGAGTTATCATTGAGCTATTCAGGTCACGACTGACATTTTTCAAAACATGTACTTTAATCACACCAGGTTAATGACTTTTGTTATCAATCAACGTAAACATAGTTTGAGAAGTGCTTATTATAATTAGGTTTGAATAAAGCAGAAAGAACGAACGTTTCAGAATAACATGAATTCATTTGTTTCGTTGTTTCCTTCAGCTGTTTACAAATTATATGTAATCGTATTAATTATTTAAAAAATAAAACGATTTACATATTTTGTATCATAATATTAGAAATTCTCTCGCTAGTGAGGCTTAATAAAAAGTGAACGAGGATAGACAAATTACATGGGATCAATCTTTAAAATCATTAACTAGTTTAAGGTGTGTCGTTAGGTTCAAACTTCCTATCAGTTGTATTCTTTACCTCTGTTCTTCTACATCCTGAGTTGAGCGTCATTTCTAGCTGTTCATTCTTCGATTCTATGTGCTACTTCTTAAATGTGGACTCAGAAAAGCCACATTAAGGGGTTCCATTAGAGTTGAACTGAGCGATGAAAAAGCTAAGGGTAAATTCCAAGAACAATTGAAGTCACATTTAGGTAATTTTCAAAACAAACCTGACCGAGATGTTATTTGGAAAGATATACGAACAACCGCGCAAACAGCAGCGACATCTATTAGTGATTTGAACCAAAGGGTTACGAAAAACCAGTTGGTTTCTGCGATATCTCTTGGACTGATAGACTCGTATGACAAACTATCATCTGATTTTGCAACCGCAAGTGGTGTCCGACAAGGCTGTCTATTATCTCCATTTTTCTTCAATTTTATCATAGACCTGCTGCTGGAAATAACGTTCTCGTCGTCGGAATTTTCGGGAATCAATCTCCTACCAAGAGGTCCACTTATTGACTTGGAATACGCAGATAACATAGTCCTGTTTAGTGAAGACGCTGATGAGATTCAGTCTTTTGGTAACACTGAGCAACAATGCCAGAATGTTTGGGATGCACTTCTCCCCCTCTAAATGCAAGTTGTTGCTCGAGGACTGGCCCGCGTCGACAACTCCACTTATCTTGGAGGTCTGATCAGCCTCAATGGGTTGGTGTCTGACGAAAGCGAGATATCCGTCTGTCAATTGAGGGACGAGTATATTGTTCAGCAGTTCTTTCTGTTTTGATTAACGCCTATGAAATGTGGCCATTAAGGGTAGAGGATACTCGTAGGTTACTGGTAGTTGGTCACAGATGTCTTTGAAATATTACTGGGATCACCGGGTAAGTAATAGTGAAGTCAGATGCAGAGTATTACGGAATGATGGTAAATCAGTTGATGAGATTGTGAATCTTCATCGACTGAGATGGTTGGGCCACGTGTTATGTATGCCTGGACACCGATTATCACGACCCGCAATGCTGACTAGTGTTAGAGATGGTTAGAAGAAAGTTAGGGGCGGCCAAACCAAAACGTGGCATCAGTCCTTGAAGTCACTAACTTCTGGTCTGAGTCATGTTGGTAGATGCAGACTACTTGGTTGGGGTCCGCGTGACTATCGTAACCGGTGGTTGGAGACTGTGTGTGACATGACTCTTTGTTTTCCCCTAAACCGTGAGATTAAAATTGCTCTATATTCTTTATACGAACTAATTCTTTCTCTTTGTACCATGTCCTAATATGCAATCTTTTTAAAAAATATATTATTACCATTGAAGTAACTGTTTCTGTGAATTTGGTGTTCATCTTATTGTGTTAAGGAAGTGTCGGAACTTGAACCGATGCACATATGTACTTGGTCCTACGTTGTAGTTGACTGACTGACTTATTAACTATACTTCATACTTTTTACAATTAAATGGAGTGTCTAGCGGTAGGGTGTATAAGGTGCGTCTCGTCCTGATTTGGGACTCGTCAGTTAAATTTTCATGCATCTTACTGTTGATGTTCACTTTTGAGTTCACGCTCTAGGACCTTTTCGTTACGAATTTATTTGTAAAGAGATCCTAGCATTATTATCATACTCGTTGAACATCTTAATAGCCATCTAACTCTGTGGATGATGTATTGGTGTTTAAAACGGGAGGCCCTGGGTTCGAGTCCCAAATAGGATGAGACGTCCGTTTGTCATTCTACTGTTAGACACATCCCATCTATTTCAAATAAATTAGTGACATAGCTATATCAGCGCGGTCCTCACAGGATGCACAAGTACTAACAAGGATCGATCAAAATGCAGTCCTGAATATCAACTGCAGGATAATACTTTTGTAACTCTCGGTTTTCCTCGTCTACACGAATGGGACGCTAAATCAGGAAACAGTAGTCGTAAATGAATGACTTATGACGGTAATACGAAAGAATGAACAAATAATATATTGCTGCTACGTTAGTGACAAGCTTTTCTGAGTTTTATGTGTTCTTTTTTCTTGAATTCAACGTCGTTTGTATAGACTCACTGTAAACATGATACTGGAGCCCATGTGCACCACTGATTTGGAATGAGGGTTTTCTAACCCCCCTAGGTGGATTCTCCGTGTCCACTAATTCGGTTAAAGCACCGGACACTGGCTTTTCGTCCTCTCAATTTCGTAAACAACACCCCTGTCACGAGAATGCAGTGAGTAGGACTTCCCTGGCAGAGGCTAATATACGTATGGCCGTGTGAGAGCATTTCGAGAGGGAGAGCTGACTTTCCCTACTCTCGGCCGTACCAGAGCATTTGGGGGCACGCATTCGATAGTCAACATCCTGGTTTTGTATTTACTTGCTATAACCTTGAATTCCTTTTCTCGATCCTGATTGGTTCAGCACGATAATTAATTTTAGTCCTGAGTATTTTTCTCACTTTAATCTGTTTAATAAATTTGTAAAATATCTCATTAAAATCATTGTTTTAACTTTATCCTATATAATAATCTTTTTTTCCATTTTTTCTGTAAACAAAAAATGTAGATTTTCTTTGATCTTGTCCGACAAATCAATAAGCAAATGCCACAAGTGAAACAGAAAACATCGAAACGAAAATGTCTAATTCTCTAACTTTGGGTTTTTATTACTTGTTTTCTTTCTCGGTTCTCTTGTCTTATTTTTCGTTTTTATAACAGAACAACTACAACAATAATAATTGGACAAAGAACACTTGATCTCATATGTTGTACGCGTGTGTGTGCGTGTGAGCGGGGGACTGATATTAAAATAAATCTGTTTCCTGTGTTTCTATTTTGTTCCTGTTTTGATTTTTTGTTTCCCACCTAGCGTAAAATGTATACATGTACATCTCAATATTTTTAGGACTTGTTTATTTATGAGGTTGTATTTGAGAAGCTATATGCACAGAGTTTTGTCCCTGAAACGCATGTGTTAACTACAAAACAGGAATTATTATGCATTTCATTACCGACACTTATAAAACCACACTCACCTACTCACCATCTATCTATCTACATTTATTTTTGTTATCCTCATATAACTCCCCAGTGCCATTCCTTTTATGTATAAATTGATAGCACAGCAATAATAATGATAACGTGTTTTACCTTTATACGTAAATTTATTCTCATGCTTCCTTTTTTGTATTTGTCCTCCGAAAATGGCTGATTTTATTGTGTTTTTTTTTAAAATGAAACACTCAACTATTGTTTCATTGTTCTTTGTGCATATATAATGTTAATTATATGCATGTGAAACTGAAGAGGACTGGTCTTTCTTATCGTTTACCACTTTGCTGTTGTTGTTATGGTTACTATCGTCGTGGTCCTTATTATTTTCGATCTACATAGCTCAAATGTTTGTGTACGTGTGGAAGAGTTCAAAGAGAAGCATATCGAAATATTTGTTTTTCTATCTACTTAATAATAATAATACTCAGCATTATCAGTCAAATTTATGATATTTTTTTCTTCTCAGTCTGTCGCTAGTGTTATTATCATTATTATGTTAACGTTTCTTTTGCTTTCTTACATATGTTATAACTTTCAGTTATTGGGTGACTCGTGACACTTTGTATCGACCTCTCTATCAATAATTTTGACACAGAAGGCTGAATATTGTTAGTATTACTAGTCTGTTTATGCTGAGTTTGTCCACATACCTCTCGTATTTTCACTATTATGAGATGTTGGTGCATTGTTATACTTCATCATCATCTACACACAGATACTTGTCTATCGTTATTCTTCATTATAAGTAATAAATTGTGATTTATCTATTGTTTTATTGTATTCCTGTTCTCACGTAATTTACTTTAAAAAAACAATATCTTTATAATTAAACTATATATCTATCTTCATTCTTTATTTCCCCGTCATCGTCTTGTAATAATTAAGTTGCTTGTGTTTATTGACTTTCTGCATCATTCAAGCCTGTTTATTAAAGTAAAAAAAGCTTTTATCGTTCTTCATCCTTTCTAGTAGCCTGTTTTTTTTAAAATAGAAATCGCGACTAATTACATTATTTAGCGAATTTTTTATTGCTAATATTCTTTGGTATTACTATTACTATCATTATGGATAGTATTAGTATCGTTGGTGTTTCTATCAATGTATTCTTTTCCTAGTTGTATAAGGTTTTCGTTTATCTCTGATATTTGTCTTTTATAAGGAGTAAACTGTACTTTTTCCTATAGTCAATTAATGTTCACCTATTCTCTCGAGGGGTAAAACAATGATGCGCTTGATATTACTGTTATTGTGATTATTATTGGTAGTAGTATGATAGTGATTATTAATATGCTTATTATTATTATTATCATTTAGACCTCTTTGCTTTTCTTCCCTTCCGTTGATTGACGTTGTGTTTTGAATATGAGAGGGGAAAAATATAAACATAATTTGCATTTTGAATCTTATTTGTTGAAAAATATGAGACTTCAGAGTACAAGATATGATGTATTGTCAGATGCATTAGTGCATTGGGTTATTTTACGATCTATTAGGTGTTACCGCACTTACTGAAGAGAAGTTTTATAATCTGTCTGTTATCAGTCATACTTAACTTAAAGCCTGGTACGTATGTACATCGGTTCAAATTAGCATACCCCCATTAGCACAGTGAAATGAAGTTTTTTACGGCAAATCCTAGGGTAGTAGTGATACTAACACTATTAATGGTAATAGGACAAATTGAGCATCGGGGATATGATTCTAAAAGAAAGTATCGAATAGTGGATTAACAAGATCTTATAAGGTGACTTCAAAGCTTAAAACCTATGGGGACACAAAGAGTGAATACACCTGCACCATTGCAAACAATTGTATCTGTCGTTGTACCTCATGCCATGTGACTGATTGTTAAGGGTGACACAGATGTGTCTTCATAAGGCAATCTGTACAGATAAGTAATAGGATATATGGGAGTAATATCTCAGACTTCTGGTGTTACCTATCGTGATGCTCCAACCTAGCTATAGTGTGTGCGACTTTTCTCTTACTACATACGACAATTCTTGTGTATAAATGTTGCTGATCAATATAAATCTGTCAGCCCTAAACTTTAGAAAAATGTCACGGTTGCTATGGCGTCATTAGTCATGGTAGACATCTCACTACCAATTTCTACCCAAACACCCTAGTAGTAACATCTCAAACTCGACAACTCGGGTTATGATCTCACAGGGAGCACCAAACTTCAGGAATTCAGATCCACCTTATTGGTGAACACCAGTTAGGACGAAACTTAAGTGATTGTCTCCAACCACCAAGTTTCCACATATATACTCATACCGTAAAGCGTAATCGGAGGGATGAAAACTCGACTTTCAAGGATAAGCTTTTATGTGATCTTAAATTTATTTCTTGACTTTATGCCTCATTGGGTTTGTCCATTCACTTTGTTTAATTGCTTATCTAATTCAACAAGTCATTCCAATTAAAAGTCTTATCCTACTTGAAATATTACTGGATTAGGGGTTCCTAAAAGCTGCCATCGAATAGTGTTTCTACTCTGAGAAGTTTTTTATGCTTCAGTCCTCTACTCACATCAAACAAGCAGATTTAGTTAGGACTTCAAAAAGTCATTACCAACGTGTTACTATGTCTCAAAAAAAAAGAAATGCTCTACATCCTCAATGTAATACCATAGAGATTTTTATAAGTGGAATAAATCAGTGGACAAGTTTTTGAACAATTATCAACTTAGCTAGAGAGGACATTATATATATGTATCACAAAGTCATCATTTCATACTATGTGAATTACTATTTTCAGAGAAAAAGAGTAGATAATTATCGATGGACTGTTATAGATGCCAAAATCCAGTGCTTGCAGTATTCAGTTAATTAACTATATAGGGTATATCTTTTATTTGGCTAGTGGTGGGATTCAGAGCTTGCGATTCATTCCATTTGGGGTTCGTCAACTGAGCGTACAACTAAAAAACTCAAACCGTCATATATATATATATATAACTAAGTAATAAAACAGCCATCCTGGATTCAAGACAAACAATAACTGAATTATAAGAGCTCTTGTTAATATGTTCATGAGAATAATTTCCACTGTATTTGTTTATTAAGATAGATAACCTTTAGCTCAAGTAGTTGAGCTGTATCAAGTGGTCTTTTTTTAAATAGTGCTGTAAACAACGGATTTTCATTCGGCATTAAGTGATAAAAGATATTGAAAGAAATAACCATAGTACTGATAACTGTTGCCACTCATTAACATGTGGATACTAATGAATATGAAATACTAATTCCTAAAATAGTCTAAATTGTATCATAGCAAGTCAACAAAATATTATAAGTGAATCATTCTTGTTTTAACTGAAAAATTAGAATCAAAATGGATTTCGAGTAAAATTCATTAAGAAATACAAATTTGAAATGATTTGTAACTAAGGTGGTCGCATTTTTTGATGATTTGTTCTCTCAATTTTCATTGACAGTATAGATATAATCCTTAACGTTTGCTAGAAAATGAGCATGAAAAAATGTTACAATTAAGCTATTTAGTATTTCAGCTCAAATAAATCTTGTTTTCGTTGTAAATGCAAAATGCATTGAAAAATATTGCAATGTTGCACGTTTGCTTCAGATCAATAAAATTAAACTGTCAAGATAACATACTTTATAGAAAAGGTTAATTAAGGACTGATCCTTCCGTTCGAAACACTGACTTATCCTATTGTTTTTGGACATTATCTCCCAACATGATGTTGTGGTTGGGGTTTTCTAACTCAAGCTCTTGTTATGAGTAAGTTTCTTATGATTCTTCATAATGGTAGGACTTTTTGGAGATTGTTAAATTAATGGATATAGTGCTCCAACCGATTGTTCGTACTAACTGATGCTATAGGGCCGAGTAATGACTACGCAGAATATTGACTGACAGGTAGTAAAAGACGTTTTTCTTTTGACGAAATAACATGCTTATATATAGAATATTAAACACAAGAATAAATCTGATTAGTAGTCGTTCAACAAATAAACGATCGCAGGATACGACAACCAGTATTAATCCCAAACCGTCAATCAGGCTATCCCGTCATATCATAATGAAACATAACTTTGTGACGGAAAAACCTGTTTCATAAAACCCTACCATGTCAAGGAGGTCTGTTGCATAGGTACATAAACTTAATCGACAAGTTCCAGGTTTGCAGTTAATGTACTGTAATCCTTACCGACTTGGGATGTTAGTAAAATGTCCACATACCTAGTGAATTATTAAAAATGATATGTTAAAAATATATGTTTCTAGAAACTATGATTTGGTTATGGTATCGATTATGTAAGCATTCAAATAGAACATATATAATCTTTTTATTCATACTAAAATTCTCTAATGTTAATTAAACCTCCAGGTTAAAATCTGAGTTAAATTCTATCACTTTAAAATTTTCGATTGATTCAATAGTTCACAATATACCTTGTGATTGGTTGTTTATTAGTAGCCCAAGTTTATTGGTAGTCAGTATAGGGGGATTCCGGCTCAGTGATCCAGTAGGTTAAGAGACTAAAGGCCCAGAGTTCGAATCCCGCGAGCGGGATCGTGGATACGCACTGCTGTCGTCCAGTGCTTCCAGGTTCTCAATGGTGATCTAACATCAACCGGATCATGGTCTCAATCAAAAATTTATTTAGTATGTTGTTAACACATGTTATACTTTAACAGTTTTAGAAGTTTAGTGTATTGGAAATTAGTCGAAATACATTAGAATCTATTTTGAAACACTTAATTCGAAGGCATTTAGTTCTAAAGCTTTTCATTCAATACGTGATATCGATTTTTGGTTATCGTCACACTGTTAAGATATTCTCAAATTTATTAAGGGATAGTTCTGTAGTGTTGGTTATTATGTTAAGCCCATATACCTTATTCTAGCTTTCGGACAGCCCATTCTATTCATTCTACTTGAGTCACACTTTGGCCGTGTTAATTATTCGCTTATCAATCTTGACTGTCTTTATATGAGCGCGTAGGTGTGTGTACATTTCCTATCCCATTACTCATCACATGTCTGTAACCTACTTTTGTGTAACTAGAAGTATTGGTTAACTCTTGGTTAAATGAGAGTTGGCTACCAGCCATTTCCACTC